ACGTCCTTGCCACGAGTACTCGACTCCAAATGGCACAAATCTATTCAATTAAATCACACATTGTAAATAACATCTCAAGCAACTGATTCTACTATTTAATTCAAAGCTAAAGCGCGAAATTAGGAAAAATGACCAAAACGCCCTTCAGGACAATATCTCGGAATCGAATAATTTTCACATTTTCAGAACTCTCGTACTCTCACGAGTCCAACCATATAAAAATCTCCCAAATCAGAGGTCAAACACCCACTCAAAACTCAATAGTTTGGTCTAAGAAGTTTCTTCTAAATTTTCCCCAATGATCCTCAAATTCGAATTTAAAAGATGGATTTAACTATATTTTGATGGAATATAACTAAAAAGCATTAAGAAAACGTTACCCAATGATCTTCTCTTCAAAACCCACTCAGAATCGCCCTCTCCCGAGCTCAAAATTGATTTTTCCAACTTTTGAAACTGACCCTCGATTCTGATATTTCACCCCAGAGATTTCCGCTTCTGCGGTCAAGGGACCGCTTCAGCGGTCTCGCTTTTGCGAAAAAAATGCCGCTTCTGCGACTTCCTTTAAAATCCAAAATTCCGCTTTTGGGGTTCTCATCTCCCGCTTCTGCGGAATTCCTACCGCTTCTGCGGTTCCTGAAGGATGTGCCTAAACTCGCTTCTGCGATGATCCAGTCGCTTCTGCGGCTCCGCTTCTGCGGTTCCCAAGCCGCAGAAGCGAAAATACCAGAAGCCTATTTTCTTCAATTGCTGCAATACTTTTTAACACGAAAAATGCCCCGTTGAGCATCCGAAACACACCCGAGGCCCCCGGGACCTCAACCAAACCTACGGACACGTCCGACAACAACAATCCTTAAACCACCTAAAACAACGCCAGAAACTCGAATTAAACAAGGATTTTAGCCTAAGAACTTCAAATTTCATCAAAACACGCTTTCGATCAAAAACCTAACCAAAACACGTTCGAATGACCTGAAATTTTGCACACCCATCCCAAATGACATGACAGAGCTACTGCAACTTCCGGAATTCTATTCCGACCCTCGGATCAAAACTCACTATCGGACCGAAAACTTCAAAAATTCAAACTTCGGCATTTCAAGCCTAAATGAGCTACGGACTTCCAAAATACATTCCGGACATGCTCCCAACCCCGAAATCACCTAACGGAGCTAACGGAACCATCAGATTTCTATTCCGAGGTCGTCTTCACACTGTTCCGACTACGAACCACTTTCCGACACTTAAGCTCTCATTTAGGAACTAAGTGTTCCAAGACACTCCGAAACACCACACCGAACGTCCCGGCAAACCAAATTAGCAGAAATGAACTTAGGGGAAGCAGTTTATAGGGGATCGGGGCGTAAATTCTTAAGACGACCGGCCGGGTCCTCACATCCTCCTACACTTAAACATTCGTTCGTCCTCGAACGAGCATAGAGAACATACCTGAAGTCCTCAAGTCACTGAGTGCGCACTTCCAACATACCCCCGCGGGTGATCCCACATCACCCTAATCCACTTAACCCTGACGGCACCATCTCAACTGAAATTTAACCTTTCTAGCAATACCAATAGGCCTTCAAGCCAGAATTCTCACCTTCCATCCGTTTCCAAAAGACTCGATCCTAAATCCATGTCCGGTATCAGTCGCAACCAGCTATTTCAATACAAACCAACACATACAGGGTGCAGCCACACAATATGACACATCACTCATAGGCCCACAATAACATTTCTGATAGCAATATTAGCCTGAGATCAAATCCGTACCGGCCATAAGCCTCATATTCCACAGGAAGTCTTTTCAAACATCCACAACACTGGCGATGATACAATAACCACGAAATCCGCATAACAAAACACCCAAACAACCAAGTCTCAGCCAACACCAACGGGTACACACCCCACAAGCTAAAACTCAAGAAGCATAGAACGGAAATGACTGAACATGAGAAAGGAAACACATAAGGGAACTAACAAACAAATCAAACTAGCACAGATTCTTCTAAAACACCAATCGACAAAACATCTAACAAGAAAGAATGAAAGCATATAAAAGACTCACAATGATCTTATACTGATATAACTTCTCACCGCAGTACACAACCCGGTCTCAACATATCAGATCACCTGAAATCACGAGGGTCCCGCCCTCATTACTGAATCACAAGTAGGGCACACATCAACCCATCTAGAGACTCTCACTAGATCAATTCCGTCTACAAATTACAACACAGGCTGGCTCCCACACCGGTGGAGCATAGATATCACAGCTCCTAACCAAGAATACTCAGAGTTCACTTCGAACCTACCAAATCAGACAACATGAATTTACCAGCCTCATAACTCTCGACAACAGCTAGAAACGGACGATAGACACGGCTATCACTCATAGAACCTCCCAACAGAATAATCACATAAACAGAGTACAAATCATGAAACGCACTCATAAATGGAACAACAAATAAGGGAACTCACCCCGATAAGCAGACTGTGATGAACTACAAATAGTGCCCCTCTATAACAAACCGAATCCGTACCTGAATGACATTCAACTGGCGCACCGGCCTCGAGCCTACTATATGAAACGCATCAACGAGCCGGGCCTCCCCCTCTTGGGCGCCCTCTACCTGCCTGAATACCTCGCTGGGACACACCGGTCCGAAGTCTGGGACAATCTCTCATCATATGGCTAGTATCTCCACACTCAAAGCACCCTCTCTGCTGACGAGGCGGTGGGAACTGTGCGATACGAGTACTCCGAGACCCATGAGCACCTGAGTCACCATGCAGAGTCTGAAGCGCGAACTGAACTGGCTGACCCGCAAAACCTCTACCATGACGCACCCTGCCTCCAAAATAAGGACCTGTATATTTCCTCGGTCTACGAGGACTCCTCGCCTCCTCAAACTCTCTCTCCTGATCTCGTCTGCTCTCTCTCTTTCATGACCCTGCCTGCCCTCTCTCTCTCTAGCATGCATACCCTCTATCCTCCTAGCAATGTTCACCACCTGCTGATACGGAATATCCATCCTCCAACTCGACGGGCCAGTCGCGTCGGACCTGACTGCTAAGGAACTAAACGCCCCCTCAAACGTCGAAACCCGGGCCGTAAACCGTTNATACCACCTTAGCATATCACATTTAAATGGATATAATAAGCAAAATATAAGTACAAGAAAGCACAAGGAATTCACTCAAACATCCAATATCAACTTCTGAAGTAAAAAATAACACCCTTAGAAGTTCTTAAATAACACTTGCAAAAAAATATTCTATAAGTTCCACCTATCTTATTCAGAATCACATTCATTTTCTATGTCATTTCCTCCCTCAACATTAGCTTCTCCATCATTTAGAGAAGCTTGAGAATGTACGTTTGTATCAATTACTATCCCATCAATACCACTTCTTACCCAATCATTAAACTCATCTTCTAAAACACGAGCATTTTCTAAAAGAGCTAAGTCAGTGGCATCACTCTGCGTTGATGACTCAAGATGCACACTATTTTCCTCCCCCATATTAAAAATGTCTCGAGGTTTAATTAACCTAGGGACAAACCATTCATGATCTTGAGGATCTTGCACAAATATTACTTGTTGAGCTTGTTCTGCAAAAATAAAGGGCTCATGACGTTCTCGATCGCCAGAGTCTGTCAGGTGTGAGAAATTCACAAGTGTGAAACCTAAGTCATCTTCCTTAATTCCTCTACCTTTGGTTACATCAATCCAATCACACTTAAATAAGACAACCTTAAATTTTTCATAGTAGTTTAACTCCACAATATCATTCAATCTGCCATAATATGTGATATTTGCAGATTTTGGAGCATTGTCACTTGTGCTTGCATAACTTTCAGTCTTTGAAACGACCATAACACCACTATTTTGTGTCACCTTGAACTCCTCACTTTGTTTCGTTCGGAATCGATAGCCATTATTTACATCGAACGCACTAAATCTTTTTGCAATGTAACTCGGCCCTCGTGCAAGGACTTTAACATCCTTTAAGATGTTAGATGTAGCTTCCAACTCCTTTACCTAACCAAATAAAAGATACAGCTATAAATGTGGATATCTGTGCAAGGACAATAATTAATGTAACCAATGACTTAGTCCTACTACTTACTTGCTCTTTGAACCACTCATGGAATGTATCAAAATGCACACGGTCAAGTTGATGTTGTGTCAAACGACGCTTACGATGTGCTCTTTTGATTTCAGCAATATGTTCCCTATTCACGTAACTCGCATATATCAATTTTGTTATCAAATAAGTAATATACATATATTAAATAATAGATATAACACTTACTTTTTATAATTCTCAACGACTTCTGACTCGCAATTGAAAAGCACATGCCGATGTGCTTGCAACCATGTTTTCTCATCCAACTCAAATACATCTACTCCACCGTATGACTCCCCAACAGTAGGAAAAAGACATTCTTCTTTACTAGTCTCATGCTCAATCTCATCATTGCATTTTCTTGAACAATAAGACCTTGAATCTCCACCCTCCAAATATCGTGAGCAAAATGCCATACACTCATTTGCTATGTATGCTTCTGCTATTGAACCTTCTGGACATGCACGATTACGAACATATGATTTTAAAGTACCCAAAAACCTATGGAACAAAGTAATATTATTAGTTTGATATTAGAATATTTAACAACTAAAGACATAAGATAAAGATTCAGTGATATTCTTCAAACCTCTCAATTGGGTACATCCAGCGATAATGTACGGGTCCCGCGTGTTTAGCCTCAGTTGCCAAGTGAATTACCAAGTGTATCATAACAGTAAAGAATCCTGGGAGGAAGAGTTTCTCCATAGTATACAATGTTTCTGGAAATTTTTCTTCAAGTAACTTTAACTCTTCTAGTTTTATCTCTTTGCTACACAGAACACGAAAAAATGTGCATAGTTCAATTAAAATTAAACTAACTCTTTTATCTACTGAATCTCCGCAAGGCAAGAGGAAGAAGTTCAATCATGAGTTTTTAGCCCAGATATCTTTCGTTTGCGAAAGCAGCGTGAGATATTAGACGCATAGCCATCTGGAAACTTGACATTTTGTAGTACTTCATAAAATAACTCCTTTTCCATCGGAGACATTGTGAAAAAAGTAGGAGGAAGATATGATCTACCACTAGCTCGGTACTGAGGCCATAAGCTTGGTCTTATTTTCATCTCCTTCAAGTCTAATCGAGCCTCTAAGTTGTCTTTATACTTTTTACCAAGATCCAATAATGTATAAATTATGTTATCACACACGTTCTTTTCTATATTCATCACATCAAGATTATGGCGCACCAAGTTAAATTTCCAATAAGGAAGATCAAAAAAAAATCTTACTCTTTTTCCATGTGTTTTTCATCACCCCATTTACCGCTTCACTTGACTGGCCAAGAGTAAATTTTATATCTTTAACTTGATTCAGCACTACTGAACCAGTTACTGGACAAGGTGCAGATCTTGTTTCTTTAGTCCCATCAAATGATTTTGCATCATTCCGATATTTGTGTCCTGACTTCAAGAAGCGGCGATGCCCCATATAACAAAACTTTCTGCCATGTTTGAGCCTTCTAGATTGAGTGTTTATATTACAAGACGGGAATGCAAATCTACCATAAGTGCACCATCCAGAGAGACTACCATATGCTGGAAAATCATTTATCGTCCACATGAGAGCTGCTCGCATTTGGAATATCTCCTTAGTGGAGGCATCGTACGTTTCTACACCAACATCCCATAATTCATTTAACTCTTCTATTAGAGGTTGCAAAAAGACATCAATATTATTTCCAAGCGCTTTTGGTCAAGGAATAAGTAAGGACAGAATGAAAAACTCTTGTTTCATGCACATCCATGGTGGAAGATTATATGGCATTAAAATCACTGGCCATGTACTGTGAACAGTTCGCATTGTGCCAAATGGATTAAACCCTTCAGAAGCTAATCCTAGGCGCACATTGCGAGGGTCTCCAGCAAATTCAGGATATTTATTATCAAAATTTTTCCAACCTTCAGAATCTGCAGGATGTCGTAGAACTCCATCTTTGTTGCGCTCTTCATGATGCCATCGCATTGCTTTGGAAGTTTCTGATGACATAAACAATCTCTGTAGCCTCGGTTTTAAAGGAAAATACCTTAGGACCTTGGCTGGAATTTTTCTAGCATCATTTTTCCATCTAGAAGCCCCACAAACTTTGCATTAATTGATATTCTTATTAGCAAACTCTTTCCTAAAAAGCATGCAATCGTTGGGACAAGCATGGATTTTTTCATACTTTAAGCCCAAGCCTTCAACTATCTTTTTGGTCTCATAGAAAGAAGGAGGCAATTTTTCCCCTTCAGGCAGCGCATCCTTCAATAGTCCAAGCAAAGCATTAAAAGATTCATTTGACCATTTGAACATGCACTTTGTACGATACATATGCAGCAAAAAGGACAGTTTGCAAAACTTCTTACATCCTGGATATAGTTCTTCATTTGCCTCCTTCATGAGCCGTTCAAACTTATCCACCTCTACATGAGGTTGATTTCCAGATGGATGAGCAATATTCTCTTATAAGTTATGATCTACGTCACCACTTTCACTAATGAACTCTGTAAAGCCTCCAAAGGCATCATGTATCATTCCTGTCATATCATCTCCCCTTAGAGTTGACTGGCTTCGATTATTTGTTTGAGCATTGCTTGATGATCCCTTTAAAGGCTCACCATGACAAAACCAAGTATCATATGATGGCATAATACCATTAATCACAAGATGATCATATGATGTAGCCCGATTAACTTGATGGATNGCCACGAGTACTCGACTCCAAATGGCACAAATCTATTCAATTAAATCACACATTGTAAATAACATCTCAAGCAACTGATTCTACTATTTAATTCAAAGCTAAAGCGCGAAATTAGGAAAAATGACCAAAACGCCCTTCAGGACAATATCTCAGAATCGAATAATTTTCATATTTTCAGAACCCTCGTACTCTCACAAGTCCAACCATATAAAAATCTCCCAAATCAGAGGTCAAACACCCACTCAAAACTCAATAGTTTGGTCTAAGAAGTTTCTTCTAAATTTTCCCCAATTTTGATCCTCAAATTCGAATTTAAAAGATGGATTTAACTATATTTTGATGGAATATAACTAAAAGGGATTAAGAAAACGTTACCCAATGATCTTCTCTTCAAAATCCACTCAGAATCGCCCTCTCCCGAGCTCCAAATTGATTTTTCCAACTTTTGAAACTAACCCTCGAATCTGATATTTCACCTCAGAGATTTTCGCTTCTGCAGTCAAGGGACCGCTTCAGCAGTCTCGCTTTTGCGGAAAAATGTCGCTTCTGCGACTTCCTTTAAAATCCAAAATTCCGCTTATGCGGTTCTCATCTCGCAGAAGCGGATCCGCTTCTGCGGAAATCCTACCGCTTCTGCGGTTCCTGAAGGATGTGCCCAAACTCGCTTCTGCGATGATCCAGTCGCTTATGCGGCTCCGCTTCTGCGGTTCCCAAGCCGCGGAAGCGAAAATACCAGAAGCCTATTTTCTTCAGCTGCTGCAATACTTTTTAACACCAAAAATGTCCAGTTGAGCATCCGAAACACACCCGAGGCCCCCGGGACCTCAACCAAACCTACGGACACGTCCAATAACATCATTCAAACTTGCACCGATCCTTAAACCACCTAAAACAACGCCGGAAACTCGAATTAAACAAGGATTTTAGCCTAAGAACTTCGAATTTCATCAAAACACGCTTTCGATCAAAAACCTAACCAAAACACGTCCGAATGACCTGAAATTTTGCACACCCATCCCAAATGACATGACGGAGCTACTGCAACTTTCGGAATTCCAATCCGGCCCTCGGATCAAAAACTCACTATCGGACCGGAAACTTTAAAAATTCAAACTTCGGCATTTCAAGCCTAAATGAGCTACGGACTTCCAAAATACATTCCGAACACGCTCCCAACCCCGAAATCACCTAACGGAGCTAATGGAACCATCAGATTTCCATTCCGAGGTCGTCTTCACACTGTTCTGACTACAGACCACTTTCCAACACTTAAGCTCTCATTTAGGGACTAAGTGTCCCAAGACACTCCGAAACACCACACCGAACGTCCCGGCAAACCAAATTAGCAGAAATGAACTTAGGGGAAGCAGTTAATAGGGGATCGGGGCGTTAATTCTTAAGACGACCGGCCGGGTCGTCATAGAAAATTAGTTGTTGGAATCACTTAGTAAAATGGGAAATCACTAAGTTGTTCACTGTTGGCTTGTCTAGCAATGGTGTTGATCGCCATCACGGCCTGACATGGAGTTGGGTCGTGACAACATGGTATCAGAGCACTAGGTTCATGTAGGTCTCACAAGTTATGGGCAGGCCTAGTAGAGTCTTGCGGATTGGTTCGGAGACGTCCGTACTTATCTTCGAGAGGCTATAAGGTGTTAGGAAACTACTCTTTATTCATCTCCTATCATGCAGTGGATGGTATACTAAGTTCCTTCTTCTATTCTCTCGCAGATGGTGAGGACGCGTACAACGGACGTTCCATACCCAGGAGGGGCTGCTCCCACCATTTCTAGAGGCCGAGGTAGAGGCCGGGGGAGGGCACCGACCCGAGGTAGGGGACGAGGGCATCCTAGAGCTGCCCCAGTAGCACCACCAGCGGATCTAGTGGAGGATCCCATAATTGAGGAGCAGGGCGAGGTGCCTACCGCAGAGCCAGCGCCGGTAAATTTCATGACAGCACCGGGCTTTCAAGAGGTCATGGGCCGTATGCTGCGGTTCATGGACACTATGACTTAGGCTGGTTTATTTCCAGCAGACCCAACCACATCTTAGGTAGGAATGGGAGCACAGACCCCTGCTGCTCAGGCTCCTGGGCACGCAGCTGCAGTATATCAAACTCCGGTGCAGAGCCCAGCCAATTGCAGCAGCTGCAGCTGAACCTAGACAGCTGCGGACGGCGAGCCGCAGAAGCTATTGGACAGGTGGACTAGATCACCCTCCTATCTTCGGATGTGAGCGTCATGAGGATGCCTAGGACTTCATTGATAGGTGCAGGGACAAACTGCACAACATGCTGATATTGGAGTCATGGGGTGGATTTCACTACTTTCCAGCTGGAGGGCAGGGCCCGTAGATGGTGGCAGTCTTATCTTCTTGGCAGACCAGTGTGTTCTCCTCCCACGACTTGGGACCAGTTCACACAACTTTTCTTGGATAGGTATATTCCACCCTCCGAGAGGGAAGAGCTGCGGTTTCAGTTTGAGCAGCTCGAGCAGGGTTAGATGTCAGTGACCGATTATGAGGCGAGGTTTTCTAAGTTGTTTCACCATGCACTTATGATACGTCCTACTGACGCAGGAGAGTGCGGAGGTTTGTTGCGGGGTTGCACTCCGGTATTAGGGATAATATGGCCCAGCAGGTTGAGATGGGGACTCCTTATCAGTTGGTAGTGGAGATTGCTCGAAGGATTGAGGGCTACCGTCAGAAGGATAGAGAGCAGATGCAGCAGGACAAAAGTGACTGTTTCTCTGGAGAGTTTAGAGGTGCCCCGGGCAGGGGCAAAGGTCAGTTTGGGAAAGGTCGGCCTAGTAGGCCCCCATATTCAGCACCACCACCTCCTCAAGGTACTCCAGCGCGACCTATTTCAGAGCCATGCCAGAGAGTTCTTACCGCCCACCAACCATCCATGGTTCTTCCAGGTACTCAGGCCACCAGAGTTCTTCCAGCTCCTATTTCAGTGCCATGCCAGAGAGTTCATATCACCCACCAGCTATTCAGGCTTCTTCTAGTGGGTCTACAAGCCATCAGGGTCAGCTTCAGGGCAGCATATCACCGCACCCGGGGGTTGTTTCGAGTGCTAAGATCTCAGTCACATGAGGAGATACTGCCCCAGGCTTCAGGGCAAGGCAGTGCAGCAGGGCCAGCAGCCCAAGATTGCAGCACCGGCTGTCCAATCACCTAGAGGCGGAGGGCAGGCTGGTAGGGGCCGTCTTAGAGGTGGAGGCCAAGCAGGGGGAGGTCAGCCAGCTACTTTTCAGTCAGGCGGAGGCCAGCCAGCCGGCGCTCCAGCTAGATTCTATGCTTTTCCGGCTAGACCAGATGCATTGGCCTCATATGTCGTGATCACAGGTATTATTTTCGTCTGCGGTAGGGATGCTTCAGAATTATTTGATCCAGGCTCTACCTATTCATATGTATCATCTCTGTTTGCTCATTTCCTAGATATTCCTCGTGAGTCCTTGGGTACTCCTATTTCACTACAACAAAAAGGGTGTTTAGCGGCAATTAAAAACGATTTTAGCGGCAATAACAATAGCCGCTATAGCTTTTACCGGCCATTGGTGTTTAGCCGCTGATGTTGGGGTCGCTAAAGCCTTTAGCGGCTATTGTCACAAAAGCTGGTAAAAGGTATGGTTTATTGCCGCTAAAGATTATCATCTTTAACGGCAATTGTTTGCGGTAATTATAATGGCTACTAAATCTAATCCATAACGGCTAATTATACTGCTTTAGCAACCATTGTTTATAGCTACTAAATTCAAAATAATTGCCGCTAAAAGTTCACATCATTAACGGCAATTATTATGGCTACTAAATCGAATAATTATACTCCTTTAGCATCCATTTTTATAGCCGCTAAATTCAAAATAATTGCCGCTAAATGTTCGCATCTTTAACGGCAATTATTTTGTGGCAATTAAAATGGCCATAGTATCCCTTCTGAAAACATATTAGTTTGCCATTTTAGTGGCTAATACGATTAACTAAATTGCCGCTAAAAGTCAATATTTTTAACGGCAATTGTTTTACAGCAATTATAACAACTCCAATATCCCTTGTAAAACATCTTAAATGCCCATTTATCGTCCATTTATATAGCTGGTATATCCAACTAAATTAGCGCTAAAAGTCACAAGCGCTAATAGAAATATTGTAGCCACCATTAATAATAGTTACTACATTTATCCAAAATATGACTCAAATAAGAAAATAAATTAATATTAATTTTAAAAAAAATATATATCTCATTAAATCTCAACAAATTAAAGGAAGCACCAATCAAAAATATTGATGTCACAATAACTAAACTTATATTGTTTGAACTAAATAGCTAATGTCATTATATAACTAATCCAAACGATTGATAGTCTTCAAACGATTTTCGTAACTTTTCATCATTATGAAATCTTCCACTAGCTGAATTATCGAGCATCAAACTGTATGAACTGAAATAATAAAATAATCGTATCAGAAGATAAAATACAATGCGAAAAAACATCTTCAAAATTCTGTCACTGTCACAATTCATAAACAGAAAAAACATTGCTATTAACAGAACAAAAACCATCAAGCAGAATAACCACAAAGTGCAGAAAATTTCAGCTGAAAACAGTCAACAAAAACTGCAGAAACATACAGATTTTATTTGCTCTAATGCTAGCTGCTGTCAACAGATTTGAAAACGGTCAACAAAAAC